TGGACATCTACAAAGGCTGAACTGCTAACAGAGACCACAAAGGTGACTGACAGGTGAAGAACAACCTTCGCCACTCTCGTGCCTCGATTCTTTTGCTGCTTCTGTAGCATTGGCTCATAGATGTCGTGCTGGTCTCCTTCCTCTTGGTAAGCACAGCTCTGAGCAGGGGGAGAGAAGCACAGAAATGCAGCAAATTGCAATGCTAAAGACTTGAAGAGAGGGAAAATCCACATCTAACAGGACAATCCTGTGGTAGAGTGTGCTGAGGAATCTGTCTCGGGACGTAAAGAAGGCTGTTGTAAATATACCCTTCAACCTGGAACGTGCAATCAAATCTGCACGGGGGAAATTTCTGTGCCCTTACAAAGTCAGGGCAAAGTCTATGAGCTTGGTTTTGACCCGGGGCACGCCCGTTTGGATCAGGGTGGAAGACTGGGGCCATCCTAATTCCTCATCAGTGAAAACAAATAGCTCCCGCAACAGAGGGGAAGCATGAAAACAAAGTTACTGTCAACACCACCCTGCCTTTTTGAAATGCCTTCCAAGCTCTCCAAGGATAAGATCAATGCGAACAAAAACAATAAGAGCTCTGTATGAAAAGCAGGTGAAAAGGCAGCTCCCTCAGCAGCACACGCCCCAGAAATGGGCCCTGCTATGCTTGCTGACAGGAGACCAGCACGATGCAGCAGCACCCCAAAGCAGCAGCCAGGGATTTTTTTTTAACTTTATGAGCTCCATAATGAAAGCAGCGGTCGGTGGACACCCCCTGTGCCAGAGTGCTCCAAACCTGCCCACGATGGAATGTGCTGATAAAGAGGAATGTTTCCTTGCAGACTCGGTTTGAGATGTAAATTTAAATATTGCTAATTTCCAGTATCAGCCTCAGCAAGAGCCTTCACCTCTCAGTGATCCATCTGTAAACGGTGGCAGCTCTCCCCAGCCTTGAATGTCTAATCATACAACGTGCTTCACAGCTTTCTCTACCAGTCTCTGCATTCTGAGTGGACCACTGATTTCTCTGAAAGCACAGTAAACCAGCTGCCAATCCATTTGTTTCAGTGAGACATGGCAGCCTGGTGTGTGAGGTGTATGGAAATGTGAAGTTTTGATGTGGTTAGTGCGTAACAAGACAGAAGAACTCCTCTGCTCAGTTCTGAAATGTTCAGCTTGAGAATTAAATTAATACTTTAGGTAATAACAAGATTTTTAGAATAATCCGATGGTTTAAAAGTCAACATTTTCCTGCCTTTCATGAGGCAGATTTCAAGTTGGTCATGGGATGAAGTGTGAGTGACTGGGATGACTGAATGGCAGGAGACAAACTCTGACTTACAGAATCTTCAGGAAAACTTTTTAGAAAGAGAAGGTGAAAAAAGCTTCACAAAAGCAATTTCTTTCCACCACTGGAGCTGTAAGAGGAAAGAATTATAGCTCAAAGCTTGCAAGAGTAATCTCTTTAGAAGCTGGAAAATCACTTGGACATTATCTGTACCAGGACTGAATCACCTCTAACTGTTGTACTGAGTATAATCAAAAGCATGACAGACTATAACACAGCTTGCTCAGTGATAAACATTCACATGTGAAACCAGAACGGGGCTTTGAGTCACTGTTTAGCTTTCTGCCCCATGATCTCAGATTAAACCCACGAACAGCCACCGCTACAAGTGCTTTGTTTCCATGCTTGGAATCCCACCATAGCCTGTGCTGCTCAGGCAGGAACAGGGAGGGGTGGCTGCAGGACCAGAGAATGATGCAGGACACAAGCTCCTCTCTCACATTGCCCACCACCTTCATTTATGTCAACTAATGTCAACAGCACTGTGTGTGTAACAGGAGGGGGGAAACCCAACACAAAACCAAAGCCCAAGACCCCCTGAAGACTGGAAACAGAAGAGGAGCAAATATAATTAATCCAGAGTGATGATGTTGCATTTAGATTATCAGATCAGTTCAGCTGGTGGAGCATGTGTGTATTTTGATTATCTTTTAGACAGAGCCATTTAGTGTCACCCTCATTCTTTCATCTGGAAGAAAATTTCAGATACCTGGGTGGGCAGGTTCATTTCCACTCTGAGCTGCCCAAATACTGCAGCTGGCCTGTGCTGGGCCTGAGGAACTGAAACTGTCTGCACTGTCCATTCTCATGTTGCTTCCTGGAGGCCCTTGAGATCTGAAAATCTGCAGGGACTTTCAGAACAGCTACAAGATTACAGCTCTTGTCTGGCCCTTTTATGTGTGATTGTGATCAATGTTTTTTAAAATGTATGAAAGGCACTCCACTGTCTCATGCCACCCACTGAAACCATGCATGTACTTTGGAAGGAGTTCAAGGGAGGCAATTTTGTCCCTTTTTGCTGCTCTGGTCAGACCCCACCTGGATTACCACGTCCAACTCTGGGGTTCCCAGCACAGGAAGGACATGGACCAGTTGGAGCAAGTCCAGAGGAGGCTGTGAAGATGATCAGAGGCTGGAGCACCTCTCCAACGAAGACAAGCTGGGAGCTGGGATTGTTCAGCCTGAAGAAGAGAAGGCTCCAGGGAGACCTTATTGCAGCCTTTCAGTACTTAAAGGGCTTATGAGAAAGTTGGGCACAAATGTTTTAGCAGGGCCTGTTGCAATAGGGCAAGAGGTAATGGATTTAAACAAATAGAAGGTCAATTTAGATTGGATATAAGGAAGAAATTTGTTACAGTGAGGTGGGGAGTATTGGCACAGGTTGTCCAGAGAGATGGTGGATGATGGATCTTCACTTCTGGAAAAATTCAAGGTCAGGTTGGATGGGGTTCTGAGCAACCTAGTCTAGTTGAAGATGTCCCTGCTCATTGCAGGGGGGTTGAACTAGATGGCCTTTAAAGGTCCCTTCCAACCCAAACTATTGGATGATCCTAAGTTTGTAATGGATTGTGAAATGCAGTGTGAGGAGACAGTGTGGCTGATAGCTCAGTGGATAACACATCAAAAGCTATGCCTGCCATTAGCACTGGCTCTACACTGATAATGGCATCTTCAGACATAATTTCACAAAGGCAGTTTTTAAACATTTCCTTTTATGTATTTAGGCTTGTGTGAGTCACAGCTTGTGCTCAGTTAAACTTTCTCCTCATTGCCCAACATTAGGGATAATGATAGTTCTTTCCATAGGGATCTCAAGATCTTCATCTGGAGATCTCGAGTCACTTGATAGGTGGGTGAATTGAGGCATTAGAGGTGAAGCCATGTGCCCAAAATCACTTAGCAGGGCACAGGCAAGGCTGGAAGAGGCACCCAGTCCTGGCCTCTTTTGCCAGACAATGGAGACTCTGACTTCAACTATTTCTTTTAACAGTTTGTGCTGCAATTGGTAAAATGAAAAAAAAGAAGGGGGGATTAATATAAAACCTTCATAGTTCCATTGCCAAAACATGCATAGGTAGCACAAAATCATAGAATGTATACCTACTGCAATAATCACCATTGTCCCAAGTAACCAGTGTGTAAGTCAAGTAGCCTTCTGGGATAATCTGGTTTGGTTCTCTAACAATTGTGTAGTTCACTCCATTACATCATTTGGAGGAATAATTGGTTCTAACATCCTTGAGTTTCAGTTCACGTTGGTTTTTCTAGAAAAAAACATCTGTATTCCACTGGCTAATTAAATGAATTTAAACAGATTTTCAATTAATTAAGATGCTGTGTGCCAAGCTCAATGATCAGAGGCTGTCTTTGTTGCATCAGACTCCTGTACCTGGTATCACACTGTACTTTCCTATTTACACATCCATGACCTTTTTATGACTAGTTACTGGCATGCAAGTGTCAGAAGAGTGTATTCCTGTGGATGTCCCAGGCTGTACAGCCCATGCTTTTGTGGGATAGGCTGCACATGTATTTTATTGAAACAAAGTCTATTCCTTTGTGAAACATCTGTTAAACTGCCAGTACTTACGAGCAGAAAGAGCCCAGGGTGTCCAAATCACCCAGCTGAGAAAGGATGGCTGTATTTACTGGCTTTTAATTCAGGCCTGAGCACAAAGAGCCGGGTGTTTTATTGCACTGTGGTAGTAACCCATGCTGAAGCAGAGATGTGGACACAGCTTCTCCAGTGTGAGAGTCATGGTGACTGTGGTGGTCACTGTGGAGGCTGGGAATTTGGGTTTCAACAGCTTCAGTGTGGGAAGGCTCTTCTGTGTCCTTGCTGAGTACTCCAAATGCTTGGGAACAACAAAGGCAAGCAGGAGAGATGTTTTGATAAGGGAGAGTCCCATTCACTTATTTCAAGTAGCACCTGCAGGCATCTTCTTTTGGGAAAAAGGTTTCAGCTTTGGTATCTGGAGTGAAGAGCTGCATCTGTCTTGCACCCTGGTTTCGAGAGCAGAGACAGGAGGTGCTGCTTCCTCCCTAATACCTGCCGTGCTTGGCGTTGTTTAACTGCTAGGCAGCTTCCCACTCAGAATGCAAAATTATACACTTGTTTTGTTTAACTGTTGTGGTATGGCTCTTATCTCTCTCTGTGTGCTAAGTAAGATGTTTAGGTATCAACTTTGGACTTGGCCAAGTCCTGAAAGCTGCACATTGTTGCCTTTGGAGTCCCTGCATCCATCTCTGCATGAAGTGCTTCCACAGGCACGAACCAATTCGGATAGCTCGTGGTCCTATGCATTGCCCATATCCCTCATTTGGGTTGTTTTGGGAGTCCTGAGATAAGATAGATCTTTATGCTGATGTCTGTGGGCTAGACATGAAAGGCTGCTCCGGGGGCGAGTTGCAGCCTTTCAGGACTGTTTCTGTGACTCTGGGTCTGTGAGCAGATCAGCAATAACCCACAGCACCAGAGGGTTGACTTTGGTGAGGATATTCTGGCTGGGAGCATCAGTTGTAGTAGTAGGGAAATTAAATTAGTCTGGGGGAAAGAAGTCAATTAATCTGCTCAGTTTCTCCCCCTCCCCCCAGAATTTTGTAGAGCCCATAAGCACAGACCTTGCGTAAGTGGATTGCATTTCACACCTAATGTGCATAATTATATCTTGCAAACAGTTTATTAATGGATCTATAATCACAGAGTAGCTTGTACATACATAATGCTGGTGTTTGATTATACTGCAGCTGCCATAGATCAATGGATACACAGGAGTCTGGCTTATTACTGTCTCACACATGAAGTCTGGAGAACAATATAACACTGGTGCCATGCAGTTGTTCATCACATGCTGCTGCCTAGGGAAAACCAGAGGTTTTAAAGACATGGTAGGGAAGGTTGGAAAGAACAGTACATAACAGGACTTGGCACTTGAAGAAAGCTCCCTTTCTCAAAAACATTCCATCTGCAAATCTTTCAGTAGCGTTCTGTCTCAATTATCAATGTGCTGTAAACATGTTAGATCTTATTTTGGAAAGGGGTCTGTTCTGAGAATTTGCTCTGAAAGCAGCATGCCTACAAGCTTGACCATTTCTGTTTTCTGGAGGTGACTCACCCAGAGGGCTGATGAATAGCCCAAGTTCTCGTGAATCAAAGCCCAGTGATTTGCAGGCTGAGCTGAGTCTCCCGACATCTGAGCAGTGCACACTGAAATGGTTTGCAGAGCTGTCCCCCAGCTGCCTTTGGGAAGCAGTCCCATTTGGTTATGCACAAGGAAAAAGGTTCTAGCTTGTTTTGGGGTGTTGATGATTGAATGCTAAAAGAAAAAAAAAAAAAAAGCTTGGTGAGCTGCAGAATTCCCATGAGACTGTATCCCACCTCCAGCACGAGAACCTCGGCCTTCCCTCTCCTGTCCCCCAGTACCACCTGCAGAGCTGCCTCTGATCTGTGCTGACTGTCTGGCCGCTGGCCAGCAGCTCTGGCCAAACAGGGTAAATAACTGTGCAAATTATGATCTAGCCTTTCTTGCAGCAAAGACATTAGTTTGTGTGCCTCTCCTCTGTCTAGCTAGGAACAAAACAATAGGAACTTCTCTGTGTTTAAGACTTGAATTGCCTTGTGAAAGGCTGGGGGCTGCGTGGGGCAGAGGAAGGAGGATTTGGTGTGATTTTATAGCTTTCCTTGATGAGAAAACAGCCCTAAAACAATAGTTTCCTCACAGATGTATCTGTTACAATATACAGGAATCAGTTCCCTTTGCTAAAAGGGTATTCTGCAGAGCAAAAGCTCTTTTTGTTTTGTTTTGTGAGGGTCAGCTTACTGTAGAGAAAGTGGATGAATTCAGAATAATAATATGATCCTGTGCCACTATGTTCAGTCTCACCCGTTCCAGCTATCCTGTTTCTGCATCGGCCTAACTGAGGCAACAAACAGAGGCAGTGTCTGATCTCTTACTTTATCAGACTTTCTGATAATAGTGACTCACTTTATTTAAAATAAAAATTTTGGAAAGATGAAAACTGTGGGATGACAAGTGTTAAACAAAGAGGTGCACGGGGGAAAGCAGACAAACTTGATCTTGTTTCCAAAGTCTTGAAAAATATATGCCAAGGTCAGAACACCAAACTTGCTGGGTGATATTGTCTCCTGTTTTCATTCCAGGGCTTTACAACCACTCGTCTTGCTTTTGACTCTGGTAATTTTTTTTTGCAAACTGCAGTTTGGAAGAAGGCAGAGTCAGTTTTGGGGGGTGAGGAGGTAGAACTAGCAAGTGGTGAAAGATTATTGGAGGTTAAGAGAGCAGGTTTCTGCCTTATGAACTTGGCAGCTCTCCTGCAGGCCTATGCTCTTGGTATTGATCTCGTTGTAAGATGAATAGTGATATGGATTTTTTTTTAAATGTCTTATTTTGGGACCTTTTAAATGTGCCTGACATTCACGAGAATTTTGCTTAAGGGTTGGTATTAATCTAAATGAATCAAGATAATACATAACATTTTGTGTTTTCAATCTCAGTGTATTTTCTTTTCAGATTTGGTTACTATCGAAAAAACCTTTTATAACAGTTCTTTTAGTGCTTTTAACTTCTGAATTTACCCATATATCTGCATTACAGTAACATACCAAAAATCAGAAGATATAGTTTGAACACGTACAGAGTTATTGCCTAAATCTGCAGTTCCTATTGATCAGAAATGTATTAAGCATATTTTCTACATTTAGAAAAAAAGTCTAAAGTTTGTTTTTATGAAGTCTGTATATAATTAGTTAGGGGATACAGATGCTTCCCTCATTTTTTTAATTAATTTGCTCATACTTCATTCAAATCATGCCTTCTGGCTAACCTTAGCATTGCTCTCTTCAATTTGCATGACTACGTGTAAAGTTAAGATTGTAATACTGAGAGATTAGAAAACCTCATTTCTTTATCAAAAGATCTAATACACTCTAATATTTTTACGTTGGCAATAGGTATTGCAGTAATCCAACAACTTTTTGGCTCGTGCAGCCATTCTTATGATGCTTCAGAGCTGTTAAAAACCCAGAGGAGTGATTGCAGGGAAAAAAATCTGAGTTGGAACGGACCCACAAGGATCATTGAGTCCAACTCTTCCCCCTGCATGGGACATCCCCAGGATCTTGCCTGATCTCAGTGGCTGAGCGTTGTCCAAACCCTCCTGGAGCTCTGGCAGCCTTGGTGCTGTGCCCACTGCCCTGGGGAGCCTGGGCAGTGCCCGACCACCCTCTGGGGGAAGAACCTTTCCCTGAGATCCAACCTAAACCTCCCTGACACAACGTAAGGCCGTTCCTTTGGTCCTGACACTGGTCACCACAGAGATCACTGCTTGCCCCTCCACTTCCCTTCACAAGGAAGCTGTAACTGCAATGAGCTATTGGGGTATAATCAGTGTATGTATGAAAAAATGGATTTAGGGACACGTGATGTATGTCCTGCTGTGCTTCATGACTGAATTAGCTCCAGCAAAGTGCATGTTTGTGAAGATGAAGAATCAAAAGTTCAGGCTGCTGTGTTTTTAGCATGAAAGTGAACTTTCCAAGAGCTGGGAAAGCAAAGTGCTGGGTTTTTTTTCTCTGAGCTGACACCACGACTTCAAAGACAGTGAGCAGCCCTGCTGGGCTTCCTGAGGTGGCGGTGGGTGCTCCTGCTCCCCTCAGGAACAGGCTGGTGTGGGGCTCTGCAGCGGCCACCGGGCAGGCAAAGGGGCTGGGGCACCACGTTTGGGGTGGCAGCCGGAGAGCGGGCTGTGTCCTCTGACAGCAGTGACAGCCCAGGGACCACCCCTGGGCTCTGGGACCATCAGTGGGGCTCAGGGAGCACCCTTGGGGCTCAGAGACCATCCCTGGGGTCAGGGACCATCCCTGGGGCTCAGAGACCATCCCTGGGGCTCTGGGACCATCCCTGGGGCTCAGGGACCACCCTTGGGGCTCAGGGACCACCCTTGGGGCTCAGGGACCATCCCCGGGGTCAGGGACCACCCCATGGGCTCTGGGACCACCCCTGGGGCTCTGGGACCACTCTTGGAGCTCAGGGACCATCCCTGGGGTCAGGGACCATCCCTGGGGCTCAGAGACCATCCCTAGGGCTCTGGGACCATCCCTAGGGCTCTGGGACCATCCCTGGGGCTCTGGGACCATGCTGGGGGTCCGCCAGGCTTTATGCTGCCCCCGGGGCCGGCCCTCACTGATCCGGGGGAGGGAGCCAGAGGAGGCCGGTGCGAGACCGGCGCTGTCCCTCCCCACCTGCCCCATCCTCACGGCCGCCCCGGCGGGGGGGACACGGCGCGCCCACCGCCCGCCCTCACGCCGCGGCAGGTGCGGGGCCCGGCCGGGTCCCCGCCGGGAGGGGGTTTTGCCCCATCGCCCCCGGGGCGCGGGGGTGCGGCCGCTCCCCTCGGGGCAGGGAGCGGGGCAGCACCGCGGGGTGGAAGCCCCGGCGCAGACCCGCCCGGCGGGTCCGGGCTCTGAGGGGGCCCCTCACCGCCCCCCGCCCGGCCGCGGGGCGCATGCGCGGCGGCGGCGCGGAGTTGTGAATGGCGCGGCTGTTCGGGCCGAGTCCGGAGCGGGAGGAAGTCGGAGCGCGGGGAGGGAGGGAGCGGGCGGGGGGCGGGAGCGGCGGCGTCGGGCTCCGGCAGCGTCGGGCTCCGGCGGCTGCGGCTGCTCCGCGTGCGCCGCGGGAGGAGGAGGAGGAGGCACGGGAGGAGGGGAGCGGGGGCGCCGCCGGCGGGGGCTAACAAAGGGCGAGGCGAGCGCTGGGGCTGGGACAGCGCGGGGCGGGCGGGAGGGAGGGAGGGAGAGGAAGGAGGGCAGCCGGCGGCGGCGGCGGCCCCACCACCATGCCGCGGGTTGTCCCCGACCAGCGGAGCAAGTTCGAGAACGAGGAGTTCTTCAGGAAGCTGAGCCGCGAGTGCGAGGTGAGGCGGCGGCGGGGCTCCCCCTTCCCTCCCTCCCTCCCTCCCTGCGCGGGGAAAGTTTCCGCGGGCCGCGGAGGGGCCGGGGCAGCCCCGGGGCTCGGCGGAGCCGGGCGGGGACGCGCAGTCAGTGCACTCCGCTGCCCCCTTATCGCCGGGGCTGGCCCCTCTGATTGCGCGCCCTGTTCCCCGCAGATTAAATACACCGGCTTCAGGGACCGGCCGCACGAGGAGAGGCAGGCCCGCTTCCAGAACGCCTGCCGCGACGGCCGCTCCGAGATCGTAAGTGGCGCCGCGCTGCCCCGGCCGGGCCCCGCCGCCGCTCCCGGCCCCGCTCGCCGAAGTTGCGGGAGCCTTCGGGGCGGGGGCTGCGCGGGGCCCGGGACGGGACGGGACGGGGGGAAAGTTTTCCTCAGGGAGCGGGGTGACACCGGGCGCCTTTCAGACAGCGAGGGGCAGGAGGGGTTCGCTGGCAGGCAGCGTTCGTGTCCGGCTCGGCAGCAGCTCCGCTCCGAGGGGCCGGCTCGCTCCGCGTCCGGAGTGACAGGGAAGGGAGGGAGATCCCCCGGCACTGCGGACGGGCTGTGCTCCTTCCCCGGACACGTGCTGCAGCTACCAGCTGCTTATTTCAACATTCAGCTTTTTTTCCCCTCTCTCTTTTTTTTTTTTTTTTTTCTCTCCGGAAACAGTAGCCTTCAGAAATGAGTAACATTGTTCAGAAGGCGCTGTCTAAAAGCCTTGGGTGAGCTGTTTGATGTATTTGTGAGCTAAATCAAATGCTTTTAGAATTAGGCTTTGAAACTTGCAACTTCAGCCCCGTTTTTCTCATTCATTAAGGTTAGTTACAGACTGCTCTCTTCTGAATTAAGAAGTGAGATGAAGTATGGCTCGGAGTAGTCAAGAGCTGCCTCGGTATTTCCTGATTTGATCTGCTGTAGGTTGCTTCTATAGGATCAGTAGCTCATAGCATTTTACCAAGTTTGTAACTCTTGACTATTAAAATGCAGAAGTAACCTCTTTTTCATTTACAGTATGTAGTGAAAGACAAGGTAAAATAGAAAACAAACCCCACTTTCACCAAGTTTGGTTTATGAGCATTCTTTAATTTCACGTGGTGTATATATTACTAGTCAATTCACAAGGAAATTATTTTTACACACAATGAAATTACTCGTGTGGACATCCAAACAAAAATAGTTAAATACCTGTTACTTTAGCTGGTCTTGTCATTTGCATTTGTCAGTAAAAGGCTGCACACTCAAGAACGTGATTACCTTTTACTGAGTAACTTTATTTTGGCTGAATCTTAACCCTGCTTGTTACCGCTGGTCTTAGAACCTGTAATATTATCTTGTGAGAGGCTCTCTGTAGACAGGTTCTTA